AATTCTTGGAAGCTTGGTATTCAGACAAGGCAGCAATTAACAGACACATAGAGATTAACAGTATCTACATACTACTCAAAAGAGACAAAAGACAGAAGATCCCCTTACCAGCAATCAAGCACCAGCAATCATCACCCAGATAAGCAAAGGTTACCACCAGGCACATAGTCAAGCAGCAAACATATGCCAATCAAAGACTACCAGAGGAGCAAAACAAAAAAAAACCCACCCTTACCAGCACTGGCAAGGCAGGCACAGCAGGTAAATAGAGAGCAAACCCCATCCATTTTAGCACTGAAGATGTTACCTAGCCGGGTAATGAAATGTTTGCAAGAAAAGAACCAAGCTCAGGGAACCCCAAGGACTCCACAGTTCGACCCTGAGCTACACATATTCACCTGTATTGGAATTTGAATGTTGTAAGCAGACAATTTAGAAAAAAATTGTTTCTTTTGTTTTGTCTTTCATGCTCAGAAAAAATAGTCTGTAGTAAGCCAGTCATCTACTGAACCTTATTGCAATAAAACTCAATTTTATTGTTATTGCTTTTGCAAGTAATTATTATCATTATTAGTTTTTATAAACTTTATTAAATTCTGACTAGAGTAAAATATAAAAATTAAGAAAAAGAAGAGAACAGAAAAAGAGAAAGGATCAGAAAAGAAATACAAGAAGAGAAAAAGTAGGAAGATAAAAAAAGAGATAACCTCCAACTTTGGTACAGGCATAAATGTATAATATATTCAACTCTTACTCTAATGTTTAAAATAATACAAAATAAATCTATATCAATAAAAGATATAAGAAAAACTAATACAAAGTATTTCTATAATTATAAAATATATCAGTCATCAAACCCCAAAATTAAAATTTTATTTCTTTCAGTCTCAAGCAAAAAGTCCAAAAGTGGTTTCCAAATAGAAGCAAAGCCAATCAAAGTCTTTTCCTTAATCAAAGTAGTCAATTTCACCATCTCTGCCAATTCCATTAATTTCACTATCCATTCTTCGGCTGTAGGTATTTGTAAATCTTTCCATTTCTGTGCATATAAAAATCTTTCTGCTGTTATCATATACAGAGATAAATTGTCATTTTTTCCCCATCTGTTTGTCCATCATACCTAAAAGGAAAACCTCTGGTTTCAGTTGTGCATCCATTTTTAAAATTTTCTGAATCAAAATACATATCACGTCCCAATATTTCTTAGCCTTCTTACGAGTCCACTAAAGACGATAAAAAGTACCTTCACACTGATTACATTTCCAACATATATTTGACCTTCTTTCATACATCTTATATAATTTATCTGGTGTTAAATACCCATGGTACATCATTTTATAAAAAATTCTTTCAAGTTGTAGTTAAGTGTAAACATGTTCCACATGTTTTCCCACTGATCCAACATTATATTATATCCAAAACCTTTTGCCCACTTGAGCACACAATTGTTAACATATTCATTTTGCATATTCATTTTCAACAGGACTTTGTACATCTTAGTAATAACAAGTTCATTATTAGTACATAAAGCAAGTTCAAAGTCTATTATTATTATTATTACTGAGATTTTCTAAGCAAGCTCAACAAATGCAACAGAGGATATGCATTCTATAAACTTTTAAAAATATGTAAGGTTTTGCAAATAAAAAATAAAAGAGAGAACATGAAGATACTGTACAGTACCTATTTACATGTGGTAATATGAAATCTTCATTTCTTCCCTATGTATTTTGGAGAAATTGAGACAAATATTTCATACAACGTAATAAGCTTCATGCTCATATAAGTCAGGGGTTGAGGGTTATGGTTAAGAGAGATATAGTACTGGATTTATAAAATAATATTGTATTTTGTTGTGGCCTGTGGAGTGTTTAAATAAATGGGGAGACTGATATGGGGAGAACCTGCATATTTTTGACAGGGATTTCTCTGGGCAGCACTGTCCTGATTCATTCTGGAAAATGTGCTTCTGAATGAGAGCAGCCAGGGGGATGTGCAGTGGAGATCCAGGGTACTTAACGTATCAGTTCTCCTTTCAGTCTCTCTCCTCTTAAGTTAGGCTATTTGATCTGCTGGAGTAAACTGGAGGAGGAGTGGAAATTGCTCAAAAGGAAGAATGAGGCATTTCCACAGACTCCGAGATCCACACCTACAAATGCCATGTCTCCATGTTAAGCTATTTAAGTTTGGTGTGTGTGTGTGTGTGTGTGTGTGTGGTGGTGGTGGTGGGAATCATGGGACTATTCTGGATGCAAGTGTATGCAAACACCTGTCCACAGAAGAAGCTCACCTTTCTAACCTGGGGAAAAGCCAGCTTTCAAACCCAATTTTTGTCAAAGGGAAAGGGGATGCATTTCCAGAGGACAATCAACAGGCAGAATGAACACTCCTGTAGCTTACGCTTCCAACAGGTATTGGATTAATACCGCCAAGCACATTTTCCCCTCAGCGAACCTCTGCATCCTCTGTCGTATAAAACAGGCTCTGTAGGAATGGACTTAGTAGGAGCCCTCATGAAGTGTAATAATGTCTTGCAAGATTTTTTTCAGTTGCAGGAAGGAACAGTGGGGAACATTATGGCCTTACAGGAAATTTAGGGAGGTGTGCTAAGTTTTGCTTTTCTCTCCTCCACATGCAGCCAAGATCATCTCCCTGTCGAGCTCATCCGACACCGTGAAGCCAAATGGCTGGAAATGACAGCTCACTGGGAGAAAACCATGGCCCGGCGCTACAGGAAGGTAAGAAGGTATCTAGGGTTGTTCCTTTAAATGGTGATTTCAGCACACCCTTTCGTCAGAGTCTTTAATGAGCCCTATTGTGATTTCATGTAATGTTCAGAAAGAGCTGAGTATTTGACACATTGCATCAAATGACATTTAACCATGATTTATTGAATAAATAGCAAATGGTTAACTTCATAGAACAAAGTCAAGACCAAACACATTATATTATGACACAGCAGAACATGTGAATCTTATCAGAAGCTTTTCCCTTATCTCTCTCTTGCACACACCAACCCCAAACAGAAACAGTCCAAATAGAACAACATAACTGAAAGAGTTCCAAGATGCCAAGTTTTTGTGGCCAATGGTTGCACTTTCCTTGAAACATTAATATTTCTGCTTCCAAGGCAGTTAATAATTGCAAATACACTGCAGCATAATACTGATATTAAATTAAAGGCCTGAGACTGAAAGCCCAGGACAGAAGGTAGGAAGACCACCCTAACAACTGGATGCTAAAACTGAGAAGTCTTATTCCTGCATCCCATCAACCTTCTCAGATGGACAGGAGTTACTCTAAGATAAGTTTCCAAAGGTGAGCTTAGCCAAATTCACATGAAAGATAATCCTTTTTGGCACCAAAGACTTTTTAACATTACAAGGCTTTTGAATCCTTCATATATTCACTGCATTGTGAAACTTGGAATTTGTGTTTAATTCCTTTTAATTTTGTCTTAACTTTATGAGCTACCTTTATACTGTTTAATACTGTGATCCTAAAATCCATACAAGGATCCAAAGGCCAACCCCAAGGTTACAGAATACTTTTAAGATTGACCTACTAAAGATATTACTCTAATATGAATTCTGGAATTCTTTGTGTGACCAACTTGGCTTAGCATTTTGTATGTTCTCTTGGGTAGCAGTTGAAAAAAAAAAAACAATTTAGGGCAATAAAGCTGTGTAGGAGGCAAGCAACCATACACCTGTGATAGATAGATGGATAGATGGTAGACAGACAGACAGACAGAATAACAGGCTCATGTGCGAAACAAGCA